TGGAAGGACCAATTCTGCAAGAAACTCTTGAAATAAGGGTATAAGTGCCAATTTTAAAATGATGGGGACCATTTTAATAAAGAGTGTAAACGTTGGGAACCATTTATGCTAATTACCCTTGTTATATTGATTGAATTAGCTGTACTCCTGCTGTTCTCCGACGGCAAACTCTAGGGTTCCCCAAAACCCGGGCCATTGACTTCCGTTACCACAGAACACGGATTTTCACTTGCTATCACGTGCTCACTTTACCATGTTTGGAGCTTAAAAGTTTATTTATGAGTAAATAAGTATTTTTTTATTAGTCAAAATTTAAAAATAAATATTGTTTATTAGTCAAATATAACGCTTAAGTTTGAAAATAAAAAGTAATTACCAGACACGACAAATGAAGAATAAATTTGATTCATTAGCATAACCATACCTGCCATAATATAATATTTGCAGCTTTTACTATGTTTGGGTCTTCTAAAAGTTACTTGCAATCTTTAGCCACTGTTTGGTGAAAATAAAATTAAAAATTTAAATTAAATTAAAGTCAACAATTAATTTTAATCACATATTTCACCAGACTCATAATTTTTCAATCACATATTTAATTAATTTTTTTCAAAATATACTAAAACTCTGATTTTAATCACCACCAAACAAGGGCTAATCAAAGTCAAAATTTTAATTTTAATAAAAAATTCACAACTTATATCCATTTATTATTCACACATTTTATGATATAAGGAAATTATAATGAAACCCAAACATTGATTTTATTATACTTTAAGCATTTTTTATTGTTCAAGTTAAAAATAACTATATTACTTCTTTCGACGATAAAGTAATAATCATTTTTGATCTAGTTAACTTTTAAACTTAAAAATAAAAAAAAAGTAATACATTCAAACATGGTTAAAAACAAATGTCTTTTTTTTTTTCAAATTTAACTATATACGCTAAATCTAAGAGTATATTTGTTACATTTAACATTCCAGGTACAAAATTAAGAAGAAGAGATGACGATATTCAAGAATTGTGGATGATCATACATGCCATAATACATTTGAGTCAAGATATACTGTCTCCACTTGTCGCTTCTACGATGTTGTTATCCTCTTGATAGTTGCTAACTCGAACTAATGAAACATCAAAATGTCAATTGAGGACGACAAATAATGAATTGGGATAATTAGAACTCAATTTAGGATCCGTTTGATAGAATTTTTTAAAAATAAAAAACTACTTCTGAAATTAAAAAGTTACTTCTGAACATGTTAAGGTTATTTTCTTAAAAGTGTTTGTCGTACTAGAAAAGATTTTAAAGAAATCTAACTTAAAGATGGATTTCTAGAACGATTTTTTTAAAAGAAGTAGAAGCAAAAATAGAATTATGTCAAATCCACACTCGTATATTTGTAGCTATATTTCTGCTGGCCAACATGCAATTTGTATCACCTATCCCATAGCTGATATGATCCATTAGAATTAGAAGTGTCCCAAGTTAGATGATAAAATTTGAGAAACATGAGACAAAATTGTTATGTGACCCAATTATTTGCAAGTGTAGACAAGAAATGGATCCAAAAAGTCCAAAATTTTCGTGATGGGGCTAGATAAAGACCAGACATCATATAATACGAAAGAAGGGACAGCGACAAGTACAACATGTCTTCAATTACTCGCCATAGAGATAAAAGCCCATGTGCCCTCAACTTTATAGTAGGAAAGTACAATTAATTAATTGCCAAGTCCTCGTTTGATTGGAAAGTAATTTTTTTTTGAAAAAATATATAGTTAAAAAATGATAAAAATTATGCATTCACGTTTAATATTGTTTTATTTGATTGAAATTAATCTCATGTCCCCAATTTCTTTTCAGATTTCCACAAACCCAATCAATTGTCCCCGTCCTCCTCCCACACATCCATCGTTGGCAACAACCACTAACTGAGGTCCCCATCCCTATAGACACCCACCAACTACGACAATCACAATACAATGCACACTATTGTACATGAAGCGATCGTGCATTGAACAGCGACGACAATGTCGCGTTGCAACGTGGCGCTCGTCGATGTTGCGTGCTGCGATTTGATGCAACATGGGATGCTTCTTGCGATCTACGGTGCATGGTGATTTTCACATGCAAGGAAAAAGAGGTAAGTGGGTTATCCGTTGGTGCAGGTGGTGGTGACAATGCAGTGGTTATGATGGTACGATGGTGGTGGTGGCAACGCTGAATCTATGGTTCGTACGTGTGTGTGGTTGGTTGGAGGTGCAGGTGGATTTTATGAGGTGGGAGTGGTAAGTTGTGGATCTATGGCGACGCTGAAAACATTTTGGGTGGAGGTGGAATGGAATGGAGTGGAGTGGAGGAGATGAAGGATAATTTGTAACTAATTAATTGGGCGACTAATTAATTTGATAATTTGTGATCGATAATAAGTTGTGAACAATTAATTTGATAAATTGTGCCGTGAAAAAAGTTGTAACTAATTAATTTGATAATTTGTGATCGATAAAAACTTGTGAACTATTTAATTAATTAACAAGTCACAAAATTATTATCAGGTGGTTTTTTTGAAACTTTTTCAAAAGTTTCTTATTTTTGTAAGTATATATTAAATCTCGAATAATGCTACTTGTACATAAAAAGTTACATAATGATTTAGATACAGTTAATGTGTCAAAGAGACAGTGGTGATTATTTTTAAAGAAAAATATCTCATCACATCACAAGTATATAAACTATTATGTAAATTTATTAGATATGTGTAGCATAACTGTTAAAACTTTGGTAGTTGGGTATTTTTCTCTTTTAATTTTCTTTAATTGCACGGTAGGAGCCCTACAAAGGAAGGCAAATATCATTCCACTAATCCCACTGTAATTCACACTGCATCCCAATTTTTCTCTCCATTTGATTTGGCTTTGTGCTGATGGAAACCGATACCAGTATTGCTTCTGCAACTGAAAACCATACCCATAAGCATTATCACATACACCCACCTCAACCCCATGGGCACCGTGACATTCTCCCTTCCTCATCCGTTCTTATTATAGTTATTCCGATCGTTATCATGTTCTTAATTCTCGCAATTCTGTTGTTAATTGTAATGCTCCGACGCCTACAATCTGCGAAATGCAATCGCAACCCAAAAAGTAGTAAAAGTGTAATCAACAACAGCAATTGCATGTTTGTTGCTCATAGCACCATAAACATCAATTCCAGTCCAGGTAATCAATTAATTGCTCCCTCCAGTTGTAATTCCAAGTTCTTTTGCATTTTTACTTCAATTTGTTTTATATTGCGATACAGCTGAAGCGAAGAGCGGCGGGTGTCTGTACGGAACAGGTTCGTGTCGCGCGCAGCAACCTAAATTGAGAGATGCTCAAGTATTTACATTCAGGGAGCTGGAAATGGCTACAGATAAATTTAGTGAAGCAAAATTGATAGGGAATGGGGCGTATGGAGTAGTTTACAGAGGGGTCCTCAGTGATGGGACTGTGGCCGCGATTAAGATGTTGCACCGTGAAGGCAGGCAAGGAGAACGTGCTTTTCGGTTAGAGGTTAGTTCACTTCATTTATTATCCTTCCTTTCAATTTATGATCGTGTCTCAGAAATTAAGGGATGTTTGACAAAATTTTTAATAAAAGATTTAGCATATTTTGATAAGAGTTGATGAAGATACAATTGAAAAAGATAAAAGTCGTGAATTTCATAAAATACGTGGATAAGATTAACACATAACTTTAATTTCAATTTTTTAGCAAATTTTTAAGCTATTCCAAAGGAAATTGCTCAGTAAGATTAGAGAAATCGAAAATATGAAATTAAATAATGTATATATACTTTCCTTTTAATCGATTCTTACGCTAGCATAACGATGAATTTAATGGAGTAACATAGAAAACATACGAGATTATAATGCTAGCCAAGTAAGTGGTACAATTTTTAGTAGATTTAACAATGAATTAAACCCATGTTTGGTGTAGCTAAAAATAAAATTTTTAGTAGATTTTGATAAAAGTTGATGAAATGTGTGGTTGAAAAGTTGTGAATTACATAAAATGTGCGATTAAAATTAATTGATAACTTTTCTTAAAATTTTATAATTTTTTCTGCAAAATACATTTATGGACAAAACTCCATTTCCATAGTTCCAGCCTTGAAGGTTTGAATTTTCTTGTATTCTCTTCCTGTATCTGTATCTCAATGAATTGTGCCTGCCAGGAATGTAAAGAAGTATTAATGAACTCCACTGACCAATCCACATGGGTTTCCGAAAAATATGACAAAAAAGCCAAAAAGATCATTTCTTGCTTTTCTTTTTCCCTTTAACTGGTGGGGTATTGATTTTTCCTGTAATTTCATTCCACCTAATTTTTTGATTTTTTTTTGAGTTAAAATGTTGTTTGTCCGTGAATTTTCACGTTCATCACTAAACCTCACAGTTGGAGGCGAACGGATTGCTTTAACCTTTTTTTTTTCCTTACTGCAACAGGTAGATTTACTGAGCCGCTTGCACTGTCCATACACAACGCAACTTCTAGGATACTGTGCAGATCAAAACCACAGACTACTTGTTTTTGAATACATGCCAAATGGATCTCTCCAAAAGCATCTCCATCTTGGCAAGAATAAATCCAAAACGATGCCATTGAATTGGGGAATTCGATTGAGAATAGCCCTGGATTGCGGCAGGGCCCTAGAATACTTGCATGAACACACCACACCATCCATCATTCACCGCAACTTTAAATGCAGTAGTATCCTGTTGGATCAAAATTTCAGGGCTAAATTGTCTGGTTTTGGGTTGGCTAAAATAGGCTCAGGCAAGCTCAATGGCCTAATTTCAACTCGTGTTCTAGGGACCACGGGATATTTGGCCCCCGAGTGAGTGCTCTATATCTTCATCCTTCTTGCATCCATCTTTGTTTGTAAATTGTCTTTCTCCATTGCCATGCTCATTGAATGTGCAACTTTCTCACTATCACGCACTTTGGCAGGCTAATGTCCTCGTCTGTCATGCTGTAACTTTCTAGCTAAAGTTAAACTCTCATTCTTGAAAATTAACTTTCACTTGTAGTCCTCTCACTCACTAGTCATCCAACTCTAGCATTGTCTCGTTTTGATAACCAAACTTTTTTTTGTTCCAAAATAGTCACTGAAATTTTGTTTTTGTTTATCTTGGGCATTGTCTACTTCCATTCGGCTAGTACAAAATATATTGTGGCATAGAAATTCATTAGCACAGCTTTTTTATCGTCAAGCTGAGCAAAAACAAGTCTGTTTGTTCGAAATGCACGTTGTCTAAGAAGCGAAAAAGTAAAAAAGGGTTACCCAGTTAGACCGTAAAAATACTGCACTAAATGGACTTTTAACCTGATTTTCTGACCATCTAAACAAACTGGTGCTAATGCATTAATGTTTTGGGAGTTGTGTTTTTATATTATCTGACCATTTCCAATACGATTTTTGACATGCAATTTTGGGTACTCTCAACTGCACATTTCTAGACTTTATAGGCCAAACTGGAGCTAATGGAATGTCCCTCCAAATTGCTTAGCATTTACTGCAAAAGCCCATTGGCCGTGGATAATACTGTTTAGCTACTAACATATTGATCCAAATCCAGGTATGCTTCAACCGGCAAGCTTACCACGAAATCAGACGTATACAGTTACGGCGTGATTCTTTTAGAGCTCTTAACAGGCCGCGTGCCTATTGATGCCAATCGTCCTCCTGGAGAACACGTCCTAGTCTCTTGGGTCGGTATAAGAATCATTTACACTTTACGAGTTTCCAAGAAGCTTACACTTAGATGTTGTTTCCTAATCTGCTTGCTTCATACTGCTAACATGCTACTTCTATTCTTATTCCCCTAATTAAACTGCATTATGCCATTATTCTCAGGCTCTTCCACGTTTAACAAACAGAGATAAAGTACAGGAAATGGTGGATCCTGCTCTACAAGGCCAATATTCGAACAAGGATCTAATTCAAGTAAGATTGAAATTTGACTGGAATCCCCCTTGCCAAACATGTCAATGAAGTTTTGATAAAATATTTTCCCCTCGTTTTCTTGTTTCTACAGGTGGCTGCTATTGCAGCTATGTGTGTACAAACTGAAGCTGATTATCGACCTCTAATGACAGATGTCGTCCAGTCCTTGATCCCTTTAGTAAAAAATCTCTCTTCGGCGTGTTCCTCCTCCAATTCACTCCGATGTAATCAAATAGTAAGTCCAAGGTCTTAAACGGAGTTCGATTCTACTTTCTTAGATAGTGCAGTGTGTGTCCTGTACGTTATTTACCGTGGTCATTACTTGTCAGCAAAGTTTTACTGTTTTTAAGACATCAAAAGCGTTCAGAATTTATTTCACAGATTAGAAAGTAGAAACTAGAAAGGATAAGCAGCACTTGAAGGCCAGAAGATACCCAAATAAATCTGTTGAAACAAAGAAATCTTACTATAATGAGTAAATCTTACTTATTTGACGTAGATTCACATTATTGTAGTAGACTATGTTCAATTATCCCTCGAGCTTACTAAGATTGGAGAAACGGGGAATTTTCTTAAGCTGGTTAAACCGATATGTTATAGATGGGCAAATATGAAAAAGTAAACAAATCTATGGAAAATCTTTAACAAGAAGAAGAGGGTTTAGGAAAAACAATAATGTTCATCAAGTGGAATTATACAGCACCAAAGTCAACCTCTTCTCGTCAACGGCAAAATCCCCAACTGTAGGTCCCAAATCCTAGTCATTCTCACAAGTTCGTTTTTACAAAACCGACCGTAGGGGATCTAATGTCAACAATACCATACCAGTTATTGTCTAAACTGGAGGCCGGTTTGAGATATCCGAAAGTGATGCTCTCTCGACCTTTGAGGTGGAACCTTCGCTGTTTTCTATTTCAGTCCGATTAAATGTAGCCCGGTTCAGCACCTTCTTCCCCCAACCTCAAAGTGAATCGGTCAATGTTGTTCTCTAGATGAACAAATGAATGTCCAGTGGAATGCGACCTGAACTTACCAAGACCTAACATAGTAGACTTTAGTATAGACGAGGAACAAAGGGGCTGGTTTGGATATTCAAAACTCGGGTTGACTTTCAGTGCAGCCGGCTACTTGGGTAACAAATGCATCATTTCTCAAATGGCTGGTGCTTTCCACATTAGTCAACTCCGGTACATGGCCGGCTTGTGGAACCAAATTAGCTCTACAAACCGGACAGGTAACATGAGAGTCAAGCCATGCGCCGATGCATTCAAGGGGGAAGACAAGACTACATTTGTGTATCGAACACAAGGTCCGTTCATCTTCAAACTAATTCAAACACACAGCACACTCCGAGGATTCTTTACCAATCTCGCGTTCTTTCACTTTAGAATATGAGAAAGTCAGGAAAGATACTATGACCGAAGGGTCCAGCCCAACTGCAGCGGCAGCACTGTGGGAGTGCATGGACCGATTGAAGCAGTACTGGATGTAGATGGAGACTAGACCAATGAAGAGTGCTCCTATGGTGACGACTATGATAATTGCCATGGACAGGCTGAACCTTGTATGCGGGTACTCGTTGATGATTCCCGGGTCGGATTCTGATGGATCAGACTGAGCTCCAACTATTGTGATTTCTGAAGACAGTGCGAGAATGAAAAGAGAAAGAAAAACAATCCCATGTTGCATATACTAAGTGTAATTCTTTAACATTGCATTGTACTCTCCCTCTTCCGAAGGGTAAGTAATACTACGTGATGTTTAAGGGGAAAAAAAGCAATTATTTTGTAATTCTCACTTTTTGCTTGATTTGGTAATTTGGAACTTTCCTCTAAAATTTCTGATTGCTTGTGCTAACGTGTAGGTTGCCACCTTCTTAAATTAGCAAATTATGCTTACATTCTTGAACTTAAGTAAATTATGCTTACAAAATTAAGTACTGCAAAATTTTCATAAATAATTAAATAACAAGTGTATGTGGTATTACGTGTCAAATGTGACAGGTTAAGTTAAATAAACATCATCTATCCATTAATCAATTTTCTACTCATTAATCAATAACCGATAGTAAGATGAGCCATAACATCATGCATACTTGACTCTCTTTAATTCTCTCTCGAGAAACATGGAATTTTTCAAGTCCCGTTTGAGTAATGCTATTTAAGACAATGACGTTAAAACATTAACGTGACATTGAAGTAAAAATACAATTAAATAAGTCACTTAATTATTTCAATGAACATATCACCTAGAATGTTGTTATAGCATCAGTGATGCTATACATCATTATGAAGAGTTATTAAAGAGAGCTGACACAATGTGAATCTCTAAAAACTCTTTTGATGGGGTAAGTTCTTTTAAAAATTAGTTTCCAAACACTTATTAAGATAATTTCTCCATTAAGCTCTACAAGAAGCAGAAGCAAAAACAAAAGTCCTACCAAACGACATTCATCTGGCTATTGTAGAAGAAGAAAATACCACGCTTCAACCATTGTGTGACTTCAAATTAGAAAGAGCAAAAAGAGATGTCTAATTTTCAGTGTCACCAATATACTACTTAAGAAGCCACGAAAGTGAGTTGATATGAATGTCGGAAATATGTAGGAGCTCTTCTTTCTCTGCTTTAAGTTTGCATAAAAGCTCTCTTTAGAGGTATAATAAAGATGGAACTAAAATGAACAGCACAGGTTTCTAGGTGATATTTAGTGGTGACAAGTGACAACCTCCTTGACAATAGATAGAGTAAATTCATATTCATTCAATCTTGGGCCCTGATTGATTAATCTTTCTTTTCCATGGAAGATGGAAATTAAAATCAATTTACACATTTTTACATGTTTGATTGATTAAATTTTTCATGAAATTGATTTTTCACATTTTCTTGATTTTTGAGAAAAACTTTTTCCCGTGGGTTTAGTGGAAAAGCTTTTCTTGTAATTAAAACAAATTATATCCTCAATTGTAACAAATTATATCCTTTTAATGGATAATTTCCATGGAAAACAACGCCAAACGAACACCAAAATACCCAAAATTTCAATATTTTTCAGGTGAAAAATTATACCAATTAAACACGATTAATTGAAAATTTCCAGTAAAACAAGTTCTACGCAATTCAATTCCCTAAAATTCATTTTCTTTCCATCCAAATTTTATTCTTGCAATCAAACAGACCCCTAGTGTACAAGATAAAGTCAAGAATGAGACTTTTAACTAGTTCTATTTTATATTAATTAAGCATTAAATTCACACCCATTAATGGCCGCAGAAAGTGCAAGAATTGGTGTTATTATTCATTCATCAATGATCAGTGAAGGCATTAATGCACATGGGAGATCTGAGAAACAATCTTTGTTCATACAAAACTTCTTGGAAACAAAATGTGGGAAGGGCGAGGGTAATAAAATACTAATCAAAGCTACACTAATATTTAACCAGTCAACTGAAACAATTATCCAAGTCGGCATATACATAAAAGTAGCCCCTAGCTAGAGCAAAAATCGAACAAATTCGCACAAAAAAAAAACTCATACTCCAGTTCCACTATTGGTAGTGACAGTGAACTTCTGGACCCTCAGGTAATACCTACACAAAAGAAAACAAAAGAAAAAGAAAATAATAATAATAAAAATAACATTAAAGTACAATTAGTCAAAACCAAAAAAAAAATCATTCTACATTTGTTTTCTTACTCACAAAACCAGGACACTAAAAAGGGCAGTCAGCATTTGGTACCATACCATCAGAATCTGAAAATATGCACTTCATTGACAACAGCAATTTCCTAGGTCTCGCAGTTTTCATCATTGACTTCGATGATTTTCGTCCAAGATAATAAAAACTTGTTCCCTGGTGATAATGAGAATTGATAACCAGCCCCAAGAATACATGTCCCTGATTAAAGCCATCATCGTGTCTTGTCACTCCCGGTCCTCACAAATAAATCAGCAATAGGTAATCCGTACCGTGTCCTAACGACACAAATTTCATCCAAAAGATTCTTCAGTCCCAGCATCACAATCATTTCCTTGGACTTAATTAACCTCAGTATAAGATTCCTCTGGGTCATTTTCACTTTCACTTTCACTTCCAGAATCCGTAAATTGTTGCTCATCAGAAGCGAATCTCATTTCTTGATGAACCAATTCAGCAAGGTCATGCCTGTTGGCTACTTTATATGCATCTATCACCGCCTGGTACAAGGATTCATTAGGTTCAATAGCTCCATATTTTAATTGGCTAGAGATCCTCTTCACGCCTTCAACCATGCCAGCTTTTCCATAACAACCAACAAGATAAATGAAGGTAACAATATCAGGTTCTAATCCCTCATCTTGCATTCGCATAAACATGTTCAATGCCTCGTCAGTTTTCCCCAAAGCCCCATATGCATGTATTGCAGCATTATAAGCAAAGGAATCAAAATCCAAATCTGTTTTCTCAAAGATTTCACAAGATTCCAAGGCATATGTATGCAAACCCACTACCGAAAAAACAGAGGTTATCACAGCTTGCCTGGCATAAGGTCTTCCTTCTTGGTAAGACGACTCAAGCTGCCTTACTGCTTCAGCTGGGGCACCTCCTTTCTTTAATATGGTAAATAGTATTTTGAACGTCCCCCCGTCAGGCAAAAGCTTCAGATTCACTACCATTTCATGCAGCAACTCACCACACTCGACTAGTTGCCCATTTGTAGCGTAGCATGCCATCACTTTATTAAATGTTACGCAGTCCCTAACTAAATGTGACTGTTTCATCTCCTCCGCAACTTCAATAGCTTCGTCAAGCATACCCATGTTTTTATATACATACATCATGGTTGCAAATGTAACTCCATCTGCCCAATTTTTCTCTTTCAAATGATCATATATCATTTTTGCTTCGGACACCATTCCTAACTCTGCACATAGACTGAGCATGCTGTTCGATGCCACAATATCAGGACCCCCATTCAACTTCTTTATCTTCTCATACAATTGTTTTGCTCCTTCCACAGACCCAATTTTACCATAAGCCTTGATCATAGAAGTTAAAACAACTTGGTTTACTGATATACCAGACTCTTCCATCACATGGAAGTAGTGAATAGCTTCTTCAAATTTGCCAGCTTCTGCAAAGCCATCAATTAACGATCCATAAACAACTTCGTTTGGTTTTACATCTGCTTGTAACATTTCTTGGTACACACTGACTGCATCAGAAAGCCTTTCCATGTGAACATACCGAGCAATAACAGCAGAGAAGGATGGACATGAAGGTGTAAATCCTGCTTTCTGCATTTCAACAAAGAGGTCTCTTGCTTTGTCCACTAAATCACCGCCAGCAAACATTTGGATCAGGGAATTGTATGTGCACTCATCTGGCCATGTCCCATGAGTTCTCATGCCCTTGAAGAGTAAGAAAGCTTTGTCATAAAGCTTTGCCTTACCATAAGCTTTGATCATGACATTATACTCCAAGACTTCCCTTTTCTGTCCATAACCACCTCTCTTGGAGTAGAACACAGCCTCTGCTTCAGCCCAAAGTCCTTTCTCAGCATATACATCTATTATAGCAGCAAACGTCCGCGATAACAGCCAACCATTGGCTTGACACTTCTCAAATAGGAACTTAGCCCGCTCAGTCAATCCTTCGTTGACATACATTTTAATAAGTACAGGAAGAGAATTTTGATCAATTTTCATCTCCAAGTTCTCCATTTCCTCAATCACAGCTTCCACCTCCTGAATCATATTTCTATCGCACAATATCTGGAGAACAGCCCTATGGGTTACCTCATCAGGAAAAAGACCCACCTCCCTAATCTTCCTATAGCACAGAAGAGCTGCATCTATGTTCCCCACATCAGCATAGAGGGATAGAAAAATGTTGTAAGTCTTTGTATCAGGAGAAATTCCCCTTTCCTCCATTTTGTTGAGCAATTCTTCAGCCTCGGACAAGTAACCATGACTACCACAGATGAAGATCATGGTGTTGAAAGTAAATGTATCCGGCATCACCCCAGACTTTAACATATCCGCAAAGACATCTGAAGCATCCTTCAAACGACCTGCCTTTCCATACAAATCAATCAAAGTATTATAAGTAGCAGTAAGTCGTGGTTTTTTGACAGATTTTTCCACATCTGATGTACCACCCAGCGTAGAAAAATTGTTCCTCCCACCCGTTCTAAAAAGCTCAGTCAACAAAAACTGCTTCAAACTAATAGTATTAGAATCGCCTATGATATCCAAATCAAGATCACCCAATTCAACCCTACCATTGCACCAATCCTTATAAAACCTATCTGCCCTATTGTATTCCCCTGCATCCTTCAACACCCTAACAACTGTATTCATTGTGACCTCATCCGGGAAAATACCCCTCAACTTCATATGTTTAATCCACAAAAGTGACTCCTTCACCAGCCCCGCTTTGCCATACACATCAACGAGCATCCCATAAGTGTTATTTGTCGGCAAGACTCCATTTTTAGCCATTTCAATCCAGCAAAGCCTCAATTCATCCCATTTCTGAGCCCTACCTAGGGCTCGAAGCACAACATTGTAGTGTATCACATTAGGAACATATTCTTTCTGTGACTTGAACCACTCAAAAATCCTCAAAACCTTCTCCCAGCTATTCTGCTCTTTGAGAATTACAGTCTGCTCTTTGGGAGTCAGCTTACCATAATATAAACCCAATGTCTTTTCAACATCATTTTCAGACGCTAAAGACCGTAAAATCGAAGGTAAAATTCCACCATATCTCTTTTTTTTACCATCAATTGAAGTCTTTTTGGGTAAAGTCAGATTATTGGAAGAACTCTGAAGCTTACTTGGACTATGAGTTTTTTTCTGGGCTTGTGGGGTTTCCACAATTTTGTTCAAAATATCGTCAGCAACTAAAGGTGTAGACGGTAAAGAGCAGTTATTTCTTTTCGAAAAGGAGTTGCGAGTGTGTGAGTTAAACCCTAGAAAAATCCTAGAACTCCAAGGAGAGACAAGGATATGGAGCTTACACGGTGAAGAACAACTCAGCAGATTTCCATGGCTTCCAAGTTTTGGGTCACTGCCACTAGAAGCGTACGCCTGCATCGTCATCATCTAGTTTTCTTCTACGTAACAAAAAACCAAGAGAGAACCAGACTTTTGATGTTTGTTGTAGGAAAAATTACAGCATCAGTCCTCATCCTTTAGATATTGTAATAACTCGATTCTCAACTTTAAATCTAAACATTTAAATCCTGGACATTTCAATTTTTCTTTTTGCAAAACTAGTCTTGTGAGATTTTAGATCTAGATATCCTATACTCTGTTTGATTTGGCAAGAATTCCAGGGAACTTGGAAACGAAATTCCATCTTCCACCATTTGTAATGTTTGATTGACATAATTTTCTTGGCAATTCATTTTCCAATTTATGCTTCACACGGTTCCAATTCCTTGCTTTTGTGGAAAATTAATTCCCACCAATTTGGTGGGATTTGGTTTTGCAGATAACTTTTTTTTTTTTTTTTTNTTTTTTTTTTTTTCTCCCTCTTTTTTTTTTTTTTTTTTGGTAATGAAAACAAATTTTATCCCTAATTGTAACAAATTCTATATCTTTAATGGACAATTTTCATGTAAAATAAAGTCAAGTGAACACCAAAAGATGCAAAATTTCAATATTTTCCACTTAAAAAATTATACTAATCAAATACAATTAATTAACAATTCCCAATAAAAAAATTCTAACAATTCAATTCCCTGAAATTCATTTTCTTTCCACCCAAATTTCACTCTTGCAATCAAAAGGACCCTAATAGGTGGAAAACAAATAGGTGGGAAAACAAAATCAAGTTTTTGTGTATCAAATGATTGTAGCTAGAAAAAGGTGGAAACATTTTGCCAGGAAAATTTGTGCTATCAAACACCCTTAATTGACTAAAATTAGAAAATATTTTCATTTTCCACCCATTTTCTAGGCTATCAAACGGATCCTAATTATAACAAACTCTATCTTTTTAATGGACAATTTTCATGTAAAACAAAGTCAAAAGAATACCAAAAGATTCAAATTTTCAATATTTTCTACGTGAAAAATTATACTAATCAAACACAATTAATTGACAATTCCCACGAAAACAATTCTAGGCAATCCAATTCTCTGAAATTCATTTTCTTTCCACCCAAATTACACTCTTGCAATCAAAAGGACCCTAAATATTATTATTTAATTTTCTTTAAAATCAGAAATATGGAAAAATGATTAGATTTTTCTTTAACATAATAAACATTAATGACTTTCATTTATGAAAAGATTTTGTAGAAAGCTTCTATACTTAACAAATCATAAAACGCTTATATTTTAAATGTGTTAGTGCTAAATATGTTTCACCATGAGTAGTCGTCTCAAATTGTTTTGCTTCATCATCCAAGAGGGATAACAACGAATAAGTTAATGCCTAGTAAACATACCTCATGTATGCGATACATATTTATAATATGTATTTATTTACACAGATTTACTTTTTAGAATATATATATCTCCTTTTCTTTAAAAACACTCTCGACCTCATGGATTGCATTTTTCAAAATAACTGTCTATTTTCTCTTTCCAATTTTCAAGGGATTTTTCTTCTTCTGAGCTTTTTGTATTTTCGAATCCAATTTTTTGGTATCCAAGGAGAGAGTTCCATTTTATATCGGTTGTTTTTCTGAAAGTCCTCTTTTTAGTTGAAAAATTCTTAAGTACAGGAATTTGTGCCTGAATTTTGAAATGAATCAATCCCATCCGTGTGTATTTTCCCTCCACCAATCTTTCAATCATTTTCCTTCATTTCAAATTCCTGTATTTTTTCTGTGAAAAAATCTTGTACTCATGTATGTTTAGCTCCCTTTACAAGAAACACAGATTCGATGGTGAATATAGGTATATTGTTATGATTTATTTGATTATGAATCATGCTTGATTGTGATTAATTTTTTTTCCTTGTAGAGAGATATATGAAATTTGCACATCAATACAAGCACATATAATCTACAACTTGATTATAGAAATTAAAGTGGATAATTAGAGGAAGTCGAAATCCTAGTACTTCCTCAAATTCGAGTTTCCAAAAATTACCTCAGCTATAGTTTTAATTTTTTTACTTTACTCTTTGCCTTTCAACTAAATGGTTGTTAATATGACCAAATCAATCAGTATATGTTCTTAACAATTTGATCAACTAGCAAGCCAATCCTCATGGGATTGACGCTTCTCATCGGTTTATTACTCGTTTGTGGCCCATACACTTGCAATATTGAGTCATAGATAACGAACACAATGTAAGTGTTAAAGCACAATATTGATATAAAGCAATTAAATGCACTGAAAAAATAAATATAAACAAATAGAAAATCGAGATTTAAAGTGGCTTGACTATGAGCCCATAGAAACACTTCTAGTAACTTCTTTGGTTTCAATATCATTTGTTACATGCCACAAATGGTGTTAAATTTGAGCTACACAAGTGGAAATTTTCTTGCCACAAATTTGTGTGAAGTGAATTAAGGACAGGCTCTTTTGTTGCCTCAAATGTCTCACTTTGCCTTGTCCAAAGCCACATGCCAATAACATATAAATAGATGTTTCTATCTTCTTATAATTAATCCCACAACACAGAAAAACCAGATTTGATTATTCTTTCACATATTTAATTATTTGCTGATAATCATCAAAACAAAATGAGTCAAGAACAGCCCATGAAGCCTGAATCTCAGGAAAATCCTCATGATCAAGGCAATGCTGCTGCAACAATGCAATCAGCCGAAAATCGCATGTACGGACAAGTACAGAAAGGAGGTCCAGCAGCCATGATGCAGTCTGTAGGCAGCAATATTGGTGCTGATAAAGGTGTAGTAATCACTGAGACTAATGTGGCCGGCAAGCGGATAATCTCCGAATCAATTGGTGGACAGGTTATTTCTTCCACATAATTAATGTTTTTCCTTAACTTACAAGGATTGGCTACAACAAATATTTCTTTCATTTGTTTTTATGGGGTTTGTTAGCAATTGACATATTTGATTTTATCCCTAATGCAAGGTTATTGGGCAAGACATTCTACCAGCTCCACTTGCCTCAGAAACTGTGCATGAACAAAGAGGCAACATCACAATTGGTGAAGCACTTGAAGCTACTGCATTGACAGCAGGACACAAGCCTGTCGATTATAGCGATGCAGCCGCAATACAAGCTGCCGAAGTGAGGGCAACTGGCCGTACCAATATTGTGCCCGGTGGTGTTGCTGCCGCTGCACAATCTGCAGCAACTCGCAACGCTCGCATGACAAGGGACGAGGATAAAACCAAATTGGGCGACATTCTCATGGTGAGTCTCTATCTTGCGAGGCTATATATTTGTCATTAGTTTTATCCATACACTTGTGCACAGGTTGATGACCTATTTCATCAAAAAGTTTAAGCTATTAGAGAGAAACTTTTAGATTCATTTTTCATTGTAGGCTTATTGTGCACAAATTCTCATAAATATGTGACTGCAAGACTTAAAACTTGGAGCCTTTACTTGGTCTGACTTATAGCCCTGTTTGTTTTCAATTTTAATGAAAATTTGTACCGTTGGAATGGGAAGCAGTCGCTTTTGTTGACCAATTTGTCTCACAATGGGACCCATTTGATGAAAATAACGGTCAAAAAATCAATTCTTCTATTAAAATAATGGGAAACAAACGGCTCTATAATATTATATTGAACTATTTTATCTAAAAGCTCTAGCTAATCGAGGGAGATTCATATGGAGTTTATATAGGATAGTTCTCGTCTTCACAACAATATACATGAACAAGATTTTATATTCGTTTTGCTCCTTATTACTATCCGGAGCATCTTTTATACACCGTACAATGAGCAAGATTTTAAATTCATTCTTTCCTGTTTGACAGGATGCAAGCTCAAAGTTACCCTCAGATAAATCAGTGACGCGTCGAGATGCTGAGGGGGTGATAGGCGCCGAGCTGAGAAACAATCCCAATCTATGCACTCGTCCAGGGGGTGTAGCGGCCTCTGTGGCTGCAGCTGCAAGGCTTAACCAGAGTAACATTCAATCTCCCACTCGGCAGGATAAATAATCTCATTTCTACACCCTTTGCATGGGTTCTATTCCTGGTTTGTTACTTGTTAGCGTCAAATGAACACCAATTTTTTGAGGCAAGCTTAATTGTACACCTAAAATGGTGGCTTTTGAGCAGATATTCAATTTTTAAAGATATTATTTTCAGATATTTATTTCCTTCTGTGGGAATATCAAATTGTATTTATTTTTCTTCTTTACTCGGGAAACAAAAAGGTGCTTATTTTCTTATGATGTATTTTATTTTAATGTTTTTGTATTGGTGACAAATGAATTATTCATCCATCTCTATTCAATTCATTGCTACTAAGCGATTATAAAATGGTTAAAACTAGAAAAAAATTCATTGCATTCATACAAGGAGAATATAAAAATTCATTTTCTAAGAAAAGTAGCCTTTAATTTTTCATAATTCGAAATTGCTTAACTCTTTATTCGTTCGCTCTACGGCATAGATCTCGAATGCACACACCCAACTTAGCCAAATAATTGTTAGCAGTCGTAGATACAAGCGAACATATATTTGATACTCTAGATCATATAGGAATAGAATTAAAGAACCATTTCGCGCGAAAATCGAGCCTCGCTAACAATTAAAATATAGATCAGACGATTGTGTAAGGAATAACATCCTCTCAAGACAAAATCCCAACGAGGGGTGTTTTATTGATGAAGATTACAATGTAGATGAAACAAAATGCCTCCAAGGAGCACAAACACACGAATACTAGAAGGAAATAATTGAAAGTTACTAAAAAATGAAATTACATAGTTCTCTGTTTGAGAGTTTGTTTGATCTTTTTTCATTTATAGATTCTTATTTCTCTTTTATACTCTTTTGACAGTTTATCTTGTAAAAACCGTTTGAAAACTCCTGAAAACGACACATCGTTCTATAACTACCTACTTTCTCCATCGTGAATGACTTGTCACGAAACTATCATTTTCAATTGCTATCATTACCCATCTCTTAACTTCTTGCAACCGAGATTCTTGGATCGTGGAATGTGATAAGGTTATCCATTAACTGTTGTAATAACTGTTGCTTCGAACAGTAACCAAAACACTATATTCGCCCAAATTTTGAGCGTCATATAGGCTTGAGCGATAGAGGCTTGCTCAGATGTGGGCGTCTGGACGTCCCATAGGCTTGGGCGATAGTGGGCCTCCATAGGCTTGGGCGATGAAGGGCTTCCATTACATAACTCCGTCTTGGGTTTGAGTACATCATTCGAATTTCCTAACTGGACTTAATTTTTTGGATCATTTAATTGTGCCTCATTTTTGTATGTCAACAAAAACAAATACACATAATTAATGAAAATTTGCGATGATAATGTCTAGTCGAGTACATCGTACCTAAAAAACGAACACAGCGTTACATAGTTAGTCAGGGATAGTATCCTGACGTAGCAAAAGATTATAGGAAAGATGAACAATCTCATAAAGATGATATAAAACTCACTAAAATTCTTATTCAATTCAATAAT